ATCAAATCATAATGACAGCAAACGCCACTAATGTAATAAATGTGCTTTTCTGGTGTGTTTGTGTTTGAACACGCTGTAAAAACCCCACCCACCCCATCACCACCTCCTCTGCCACTGCAGATATCCATTTTCCACTTCTCTCTTTCCCTCTCGATCTTCTGCTCTCTCTCTCTCTCTCTCTCTCTCTCTCTCTCTCTCTCTCTTTCTCTCTAAGAACCTCCTAAAGCATTATACGCATAATAGAGATAAACCTGTCCAACAGCTTCACACAAAGCAAAAGAGCCAGAGCGAGAGAGACAAATGTCTTACATTCTTCCTGTAAACTGCTTAAGTTGTATGGAGTGTTTGGCTTTGTCTGAGAAGTGGTAAAACAAGCTTATTAAACGCTTTACGTCATCACATGCTGTGATGCGAGATACCTTCAGCATGACAATAAAGAAGTAATACGCACACACACACACAGCATCATGATCAGTGAAGTGAGGTGCGACACAGATTAAGAGAGAGATGAAGAAACAGAAGTGTGAAGCAACACCATATATGGATTCATGGTTACTTAGCGACAAAGGAACCGCCCACAACTGAGTTTTCCATGACAGTGTGAGCGATGGTTAAACGATGGCATCAGAACGTGTGTGTGTATGTGTGTGTGTGTTTGTGTGGGTGTGTGTGTGTGTGTGCACGGGCCTGTGGATGTCAGCAGCTGATGCAACACACTCAATTTTGGCTCATTCATTCAAAGACAACACAAAAATTTGAATATGCAGCTTGCATGACGCTAATGTACAGCAAACGCAAAGGAAAAAGACTTGTAATTTTAACAAGCAAAATAAACCCTGACAGGGTGATGAGGAACTTTTGGGGCTTATTACAAGGCGAGTTATCAGTATTTTGTTGCCCTTTATTTGTTTGACTTGGAATTATTTTATTATGTGAGAAGATATGAAAGACAAGCGCAGAGTTCAAAAGTGCAAGGATGCATTAAATTGAGCAAAAGTGACAAAAGTCTTTTATATTGTTACCAGAATTTTCAGTCACACTTTAGATTAAAGTCCAATTCTCACCATTAACTAAGTATTAACTATGACTTTTGCTCCTAATTACGGCTTATCAATAGTAGTTAGTAAGGTAGTTATTAAGTTTAGGTATTAGGTAGTATTAAGGGCTGTAGAATAAGCAGAATAACGCTTTAATATGTGCTTTATAAGTACTAATAAACAGCCAATATCCTAGTAATATGCATGCTAAGCCTAAACTAAAGTGTTACTGAAATTTCTATTTAAAACAAATTTTGTTCTTTTGAATTTCGTAACATCAAAGAATCCAGAAAAACATGCATCATGGTTTAAGCAGCACAGCTGTTTTCAACATTAATCATATTCAGAAATGTTTCTTGAGCATCAAATCATCATATTAGAATGATTTCTGAAGGATCATGTGACACTGAAGACTGGAGTAATGATGCTGAAAATTCAGCTTTGATCACAGGAATAAATTACTTTTTTTTTTTTTACAAACATATATGACCATAGTTATTTTAAACGTTATAATATTTCACAATATTACTGTATTTTATTACATAGTGTATTTTTGATCAAATAAATGCAGCCTTGGTGCGAATTAGAGACTTTCAAAAAACATGAAGGGTAGTGTAAGACGTACGTATGAAGAAAGATCCGGGAAAACAATCAGTGCGGGAAAGATGGAGAGATTACGAGGAGCCACTGAACTTCCTGACTGATTCATCCTGACTCACGGATCAGCCAGACATGAACAAAACTCGCTGTAATTATTTGGATAATGGGAGATTGGAGTGGGAAACTGATGATTAGCACAGAACTGCTGATGAAACGCCCACATGTGCAAGTAATGTATAATATCAGTCCTGTTTTTGCTGACGCTGGTCATAGTCTTTTCCAGCAACCCTGTAGACGCATATCAGGGTGTAAAAGACCCTTATTTTACTCAAACTGACTCAAAGCGCATTCAAAGTAGTATAGATTTGATCAGAATGTCTGTTCCTGGAAATCAAGCGCATGGCCTTGGTGTTGCTCGCGTCATGCTTTAGCACTCGAGGTTCAGTAACAGACAAGCTTATGTCCAGCCAACTCAGTGCACTGAACGCCCGGTCAGTCTGTGAACGCGAGTTTCGGTTCAGATCAAGGTAAACAAACGTCTCATCAGAGATATGAAGTCACTCAAAGCTTCAGCAAGTCAACGCCACCCAGTTTCAGATGGATTATCCATCCCGACCAAAACTGACTGAGATTTGACACATTGTCAGACACCAAGACACACGGGATTTGGGGGATTTTTCCATCTGGAGTCTCATGTATCATTACAATGAGTCTCACTCCTCCATTAGTCACATTAAATCAATCAGTGACCTTTGGAAATAATGTCACAATTCTATTTTTTGTTTGTTTCCATAAACTAAGAGTTTCTATTCTTCATCTTCAGAGTTTCGCTCAAACTTTAAAAACATCCCCGTTTACATTAGGTTTATCTTACTCACTTTAGTCTCGAACACCTAAAAGGCAAATATATGGTGTAGTTACTAGCTTTCCACAGAAAAACAAAATCATCCTCCCTCCCATGGGTTTCACCCGTCAACTGTTCCAAGAGCCAACAAATATATCAGCAACACGAGCCTGAGCCTGAAACCGAAACCGTTTGCCAGACTAGAAATTATTAGTCAGAAAGAATAAAACTACGATATTTCAGTAACCTTTTTGATGATTACTAAAAGCCAGATGATTTACATAAAATAACAGGGTCGTGTCAGCGTACCTTAGAGACACCACTTTCACAGAACAAAAGCTGGAGATGTACAGATAATAAGATTAAAAATAGCTGTAATTTCTAATAAAAAGTTTCACTGTGACTCAGTGCTTAAGCATTCATCCTTATAATCTTCATTCTTACATGCCAAACTGAAGCTATACTGTAGATCAACAACAACTCAAACACATAATGCTGAGAAGTTCCTTACTGGCAAGCATAACTCCTAATCAATAGCAGTAGATAAGCAGCACAAGACCTCACGTCTGCTACAGGACTTGACAATAAATTTGGTAATAAAGTTGTGCACAAACACTTATCAAGAGCCCTTCCCTAACCTTTGAGACATAGCCTTGGGGAAAAGTAGTAGGCTACACACGTATGTAATTATGCGTCCAAAAAGTGTTCAGTTTGCAAGTTATCTATCTATCTATCTGTCTGCTAAAGTGACTTTAACATACTTATTACGGAAATGATATAGTTTGAGATAATATATTACTTGCAAACTGAACACTTTTTGGACACTTAATTTCTTTTTGCAATTAAATTAATATATATTGTAGATACAATTTATATTAAATTCAGTTAGTCGAACTTAATAGTTTTTTTTTTTTTACATACTTAAGTAGGACACATATTTATCTTTAAGTCGTATTTTCACGACGACTCCAATTTTTGTCTGATTCTTACCAAAATTGTCATTTTAAATGATCGATGATAAGCTTTTATTCACATATAAACATTCATCAACGCATATATTTTAAATGTGGTAAGCGGAAGCTCAAGAGGATTTGCTTCATGTGTGAGAACCAATGAGGTTCATTCTTGTGTTACGCAGCACGTTTGAGCTTCAGCAAGAACCAATGAGGTTCATTCTTGTGTTACGCAGCACGTTTGAGCTTCAGCGAGAACCAATGAGGTTCATTCTCGTGTTACGCAGCACGTTTGAGCTTCAGCAAGAACCAATGAGGTTCCTTCTCGTGTTACGCAGCACGTTTGAGCTTCAGCAAGAGCCAATGAGGTTCATTCTCGTGTTACGCAGCACGTTTGAGCTTCAGCAAGAACCAATGAGGTTCATTCTCGTGTTACGCAGCACGTTTGAGCTTCAGCGAGAACCAATGAGGTTCATTCTCGTGTTACGCAGCACGTCTGAGCTTCAGCGAGAACCAATGAGGTTCATTCTCGTGTTACACAGCACGTTTGAGCTTCAGCGAGAACCAATGAGGTTCATTCTCGTGTTACGCAGCACGTTTGAGCTTCAGCAAGAACCAATGAGGTTCATTCTCGTGTTACGCAGCACGTTTGAGCTTCAGCAAGAACCAATGAGGTTCATTCTCGTGTTACGCAGCACGTTTGAGCTTCAGCAAGAACCAATGAGGTTCATTCTTGTGTTACGCAGCACGTTTGAGCTTCAGCAAGAACCAATGAGGTTCATTCTCGTGTTACGCAGCACGTCTGAGCTTCAGCAAGAGCCAATGAGGTTCATTCTCGTGTTACGCAGCACGTTTGAGCTTCAGCAAGAACCAATGAGGTTCATTCTCGTGTTACGCAGCACGTTTGAGCTTCAGCAAGAACCAATGAGGTTCATTCTCGTGTTACGCAGCACGTTTGAGCTTCAGCAAGAACCAATGAGGTTCATTCTTGTGTTACGCAGCACGTTTGAGCTTCAGCAAGAACCAATGAGGTTCATTCTTGTGTTACGCAGCACGTTTGAGCTTCAGCAAGAACCAATGAGGTTCATTCTCGTGTTACGCAGCCCGTTTGAGCTTCAGCAAGAACCAATGAGGTTCATTCTCGTGTTACGCAGCACATTTGAGCTTCAGCAAGAGCCAATGAGGTTTGTTCTCGCTCGTCAAGCAGGTTCTGTTGAGCTTCTGTCTATGTTTATCTTCTGATCAATGTTTATATGCAAATAAAAGCCTCAATTTAATCTGTTTATCATATAAAGCAATCAAGTCTCTTCAGAAACTGGACTAAAACGCTCAATTCATATGGATTAGTTTTACAATCATTTATGAGCTTTTTGACACGTCAATGTGGTAGTTGCGTAGCTGTCAATGGAGGGACAGAAATTATTGTTATTATTAAATTTGTGTTTTGAAGATGAATGAAAGTCTAACGGGTTTGAAACAACATGAGTGTAATGATAATTTAAATTGAGTGAACTATCCCTTTAATAAAGACTAAAAGCATTTAAATTGGTAAAACTGGACATTTACCCCTGCCAGTTCATCAGGACTCCCGAACATACTGGGGGACAGACTGGTGGGCTCAATGTCACTGCCTGTGAAGTCATCCTCGGACTCCTCAAACGACGAGGCAGAGGATAATCCAGCAGAAGAGGAGCTGGAGAGTTTTCTGTGGAACAGAGAGGGCGCAGGGGAGCCTCCGCAGCCGCTGTCCGAGCAGGGCGAGTCCTCGTCGGGGTGCAGGTCCAGAGAAAACCCGCCCATGCTCAGCGTCAAATCCGTGATGCGCGGACTGTCCTGACCAGGACCCAGATCATCGTGGGTGACTATTAGTTTGGGAATAATCCTAGGGAACGGGATTGAGACTTTATGCTCCCCTGCTTCTTCACTCCTCCGATCGGAAACGGAGGCTTTCAACGTACTTTTGGTCATTTTGTGTTTAGCCAACGGAGACGAACAACTGAAGTCTACAAGAAAGTCTGGGGTGTTCAGGCACTGGGTCACATTTTCCTCCGAAACTCTGCCTGGAGTCACGGCACCTCCTGACATTCTTTCCATGTCCCACAGCGAGACGCAACACTCATGGTTCTCCTCCACACGTCCTCCTTTCTGTCCGCCTTGGGAGTCCGAAACTTGAATCTCGAAGTCCGTCTCGCGACTCAGAACAATCAAGTTTTCGGGCGCATGTTGATTACCGGAAGAACTCGCGTTTAAAAACAGCTTTTTCGGCTCACGAACTCTTGCATCCACAGAAGTCTTCCCCTCTTTATAATCGTCCCGCCAGAACTTGTTCTGAACAGTCGGCAGCTCTCTGGTTTTCATCGGACTCTCGTCTAACCAGTCACCGGTGTGTGGCGAACAAAAAACTCCTCGCACGCGCGCTCGTGTGGAGCTCGCGAGCGCTGCGATGTTGCTGCAGTGTGAAGAGTTGCAGGATGTTGATTGGCCCATCCTGCACACCGTACCGATCACTCACGCAGACCTTTAAATGCCACTCCCACTACTGGCTCTGGCCAAGGTGTTTAACCCTGTAAAGCCTGACATATGAAATAATAGTCAGAAATATCAACATTTTTTTAAATGGAACAGTTTATTGTATATTTCTACAAAATATAAGCATATTTGACACGTCAAGCTTTTATGGCCCTTATTATATCATATTAGAGAAAATGGAGCTCACACTCCAGGAGTAAAAAAACACCTGTTTTATTCAGAGGCCCAAACTGAGCAAAAATATGCAATTTGGTGCAGATGTTGTTATTTGTATGGCCAAAAGTTAAGATACAATTTTGATAGCTTAATGTAAATTAATGATATTTTTTATAACAGTATATTAGTTGTCACTCAATACATCCTAATAGCCTATAAGTCTTAGTTAGCCTAGATTATATAAATGTTTTGTTTTATGATCAAAGCTCTGTAGTTTAATTGTGGGGGACAAAACATATAATACAATGCAATGATGTTTGAGAAATAAATACAAACTTGACTGTTCCTCAAGTCTGTTGTATCAGCCTATTTTAAACTTACATAGGCCTACATGACTTCCATAGTATGTTTTTTAAACACAGTTCTTAATAAAAAAAATATTTAACCTTAACCTAAACACAAAATAATATACTTTTACACAAATCGCATCCCTTGTTAGCCTATACACACGTCAACAAATGACGATCATTACACGCATGCTGTTATTAAACAAACAAAGTTATAAAGTTTAATATGTGACTTAATATGATCCCAACACTTACCAGAAGAGCTCTTCTTCAATAAAAATGCCATATAAATCATTAGGGGGGAATGTTTAACTAACTTGGTCATTTGATTCAACTAGATTATGGCTATGTGTGTTACTGTATGGTTTGTCGATATCGTCCAATGCATCTGGAATGTCTTTGTCTCCCTCCAGTGTTTAAAGAGGGAAAGTACATGTCTAAAGCTTGAGTAAATTTCATTGCATTTATGTGTTTTTTTTCCCCTGACAGAAGAAAGAAGGTCATATATGGATGGAAACGACATGTGAGTGAGGTAATAATGACATCATTTTCATTTTTGGCTGAACTAACTAAAAAAACTGTAAAATCTACACTACACTGCACCCTAACATATTCTTGTTTTGCTCAGCTTTCCAACCAACCTTGTTACAGTAAGTCAAACTCGACACTATAATGACCACAGGACACCACATTCACCATAGGGTTATTCAGTATAAACCACAAAAGAGCAAGAATAATTGTTGCATTAGTAAAGAAATTAAGTGTACATGAATTTAACGTTACAAAAATGAAACAAAATTAAATCAAATGTAATGAAAATCGCATTGTACCCATGCGAAGAGTTATGTAAGACTGACACACACACACACACACACACACACACACACACACACACATGGATGTATTATTGTGGCACAAGTTTCCTGCGATACAGGAAGTGTGATCTTAAGTGACAACAGCTCTTGCTTTAAGGCTGACGACAGACCACAGTGTCGACGAGCCATTCTGCATGTCTTTGTCTGAAGCTTAGAGAACTAAACATGACTATCAATCATTTCTGGTCTGATAAGCATTGTGATTATTTACCCTCATCTTTACTATTTCTGGAATTCTACATCTAATTAAATGTTCCAATTTTGGAGTTTTAAACAAATGTATACAATGATGCATTAAATTGAAATGAATTAAAGTGACGATATAAACATTTATGTCACAAAAAATGTTTTAAAACATTATATACGTTAATAATCTATCCACAAAAATATTAAGCAACACATCTGTTTTAAATAGTTAGAATAAGAAGAAATGTTTCTTAAGCAGCTATTTATTTCTGAAGGATCATGTGACACTGAATAACTTACACAGGAACATTTTAAAATATATTTTACTGTTTTTTGTTGTTGTTGTTGTTGTTGTTTTTGTTCTAATAAAATGTTCTACATACAAATCATGACTGTTTTAACAGTTTAATGTTACAGGACAAACTATTAAACACTAAATTTGAACTTACCGGCTTCACTTAGCCTATATCAGACACTTCTTTGTATGTTTGCTGGAGAAACGTGCTGATGTTTTACAGTTTCTTACTCATTAGTAATGAGTCATGAGTCATTAAAACACACCCTTCTCAACAACCTTTGATTTGCACAGGAGAGAACTGTACATACTGAATCATATTGAGGATTATGAACATGTATGAGCTTTAGTGAGATCCAAAGCTCCTATAGGAGGAGATAGGAGGAGAGAGAGAGAGAGAGAGAGAGAGAGAGAGAGAGAGAGAGAGAGAGAGAGAGAGAGAGAGAGAGAGAGAGAGAGAGAGAGAGAGAGAGAGAGAGAGAGAGAGAGAGAGAGAGAGAGAGAGGCTGCTGGTCTGAGGCCTGTTTGACTCCTCATGCTCCCGATACTGTCAGAATGACAAACTAGTTACACATTAATCACATATATAGGCAACATTTTGTGTGATGATTACAAAAGCAACACTAATGTGGAAATTCTCGCAGGTTACGATAGTGCGATGACACCTAGATGATTAAGAGGTGTTTTAGGATTGAATATGGACAATTACAATTTCCCAAAGTTGCTCAACAAACAAAAAATAGGCCTACTAATGGAGAATGATTGTCATACAAATGTGACATGAAACTATTAAATGGATGGTGAAACTGATCCGTCTCTGTTTTGTATTGACAGTATTACTCTTTGTATGTCATTATTACTTTTTATAATATAATTTAATATTATATTTGTCAAATTTTGAGTTTGTTTTTGATCTGTTTTTCTGTTAAGTTTCTGTCTAAGTTTGTTTAATTAGTTGAGTCGTCCTCGTTCCTCCTGTTTTTCTTCATGGTTATTGATTTGGTTAGAGTATTCTGTTCAGGTGTGTGTTTAATTATCTTTGTTTGCCTTTGTTTTCACTTAACTTCGCATCATTGTTTAACCTCAGGTTGTTTCGTTCGAGTAAATCTCCTGTTTATTGTTTGATTATTAGATTAATGATCGGTTTGTGTACCTCCTGAGTCCTGCATTTCTTCTACAGCAACCCCTGACAATATTATTTTAAATGTAATAATATTTATTTATTATGATAATATGGTTTTAAGTTGAATATTATATTCAATATTGTATTTTTGTCATAAATGCTAATTATATTAAAAAAAGTTATAATAAAGCAAATAAATTAATCTTGATCTTAAATCTAAATGTTGAAATAGGAAGCGTGCATGTTATATATTTAATAAAAAAAGAATATATGTGAATTTTAATGCCTTCCTTATTCTTCTGTAATGTAATTCTGTTATAAGGTATTCCTGTTATTGATAACACAGATTTACAAATTTAGATAATATACATTTTTAATATGATTTAATGAAAATTAAGTAACAGTTTTGTCTTTGAGGTGTTTTGTTCAGAAGTGGATGTGCTGTAGAATCTCCTTCAATTTCCAGGATGTTAAACTGATAAAAGAAAACGGATGAGAATTCACACACACATGCTCATTCACAAACACCTTCACTTCCCACAGCGAAAGCAGATCTGAAAGTCACAGTGGAGGTCAGTATGAGCGCCAGCGCATCTGAAAAGTAGAACCAGGAGCAAAACCGAAAAAGAGATGCTGAATAATGTTGTTCCACTAATGAATCACTGAATGAAAAGCATGTTCCACTGAATCACTGAAGTATGAATGGCATCAGCGATGCATTGCCCTTCCTGAGATACAGTGGGAAAACAAGCACTGAGTCATTTGTTTGTTCAGGAGCTCTTTGGGAAGATTTGAGAGAGGCATGTCCAAATAATCATTTTAATTATTTTATTGTTGTCATGACAGTCTGCGAGTTATATAACAATTTCTGCACTATAATACTCTGAGACATCATGTCCCAAAATATGTGATCAATTCATATGTAGAGCATTTGGTTAGGACCACCTGGACCAACAGAATAATATTATTTATATTATATTAACTGACTTATGACATATCTAGTGTAAGGTATATATAATAATATACTTGAGCAATATCACACAAGCAAGAATGCTGTTGTTCCGTATATCATCATGACTGTGATTTGGCAAGATATTTCTTTTTAATATTCATTTTAATAAACATGAAGGTTAAGTAACTTATTTCCACCAATGAAAGTAGTTCCACACGAAGCACCAGCGGAATCATTCATGCTGAGCAACACACAGCGGTGGTGTGTTTTATTCCTGAGTGAATCGGTGGGTTTGAACAAGTGATTGATTGACACGTCATTAACACGGGCACTTGTTTAGTTCCTGAATGAATCAGTGTTTAAAGGATAGGCTCAATGATTCACCCATTAACACAGTTGCCTACATTTGTTCCTGAATGAATCAGTGTTTGAACAAACTGGTTGCGCGAATGATTGAAGGCATAGCTCACTTAAAAATGACAATTCTGTCCTCATTTACTCGCCCTCAAGTTGTTTCAAACCTGTATGAATTGTCAAGTCATGAGTGAAGTCAATGGTAGGCGTCATTTACGGGGGACGGGGGGACATGTCCCCACCACTATTTGCCAGGGTCGATTTTGTCCACACCACTTTTGAAACATCGCGGTACGGATGTACCAATACAAGTAAAACATCTCCAGTTAACTAGCAGAGCATTCGTTTCGTTCGTTTGTTAAATAAGAGGCGATCTAGCGCTAACATGTGTTGTTTTTTTAATGAAGTGGCGCGTGTTGTGGCATGCGCACGCGCCGCAATGTCTTCACTCGGACGCGCGCTTCAATCCGTTGCGGAGATTCTCTATTCGTTCCGGGGAAATCGCAAAACAAAATGCAAACAAATGCGTCCCTGCTTGATATACAACCACTGATAAACATTATCGGCTTTTATGAGGGGGGAAAAACTATTCGAGTGCGGATTAGAACCCTGAACCTCCGACACGCTTGGCAAAAATTCTGCCACTGGACCACTACAGTACATACATACATTAGGCTGATCTATGTATTT